CTTGTGCTCTGGGGTGTGGGCTGCCCTGGGGTGAGGGGTGCTTCTCTGGGGGTGTGGGGTGCCTGGGGTGGGTGCCTGGGGGGTGTGGGTGCCCCTGGGGGTGGGGCCTGGTGGTGTGTGGGGTGCCTGGGGTGTGGGGCCTGGGGGTGGGGTGCCCTCTGGGGGTGTGGGGTGCTTCTCTGGGGTGTGGGGTGCTTCTCTGGGGGTGTGGGGTGCCTGGGGGTGTGCTTCTCTGGGGGTGTGGGGTGCTTCTCTGGGGGGTGTGGGTGCCTCTGGGGTGTGGGGTGCCCTGGGGGTGTGGGGTGCTCTGGGGGTGTGGGGTGCCTCTGGGGTGTGGGGTGCTTCTCTGGGGGTGTGGGGATGAGGAAGGAGTCAAGGTCGGAGGGGGGAAAGGAGGAGGAATGGAGGAAGGAAGGAAGGAAGGAAGGAAGGAAGAAGGAAGGAAGGAGAGGAAAGAAGGAAGGAAGGAAGGAAGGAAGGAAGGAGGAAAGAAGGAAGGAAGGAGGGAATGAAGAAGGAAGGAAGGAAGGAAGGAAGGAGGGCTGGACAGGAAGTGAGAGCAGGCTGATGGTGCGTGTCTTGAGGGAAGGAGGGAGGGAAGGAGGAGGAAGGAGGGAAGGAGGGAGGGAAGGGTGTGGTCCTGTTATTAAGTAAATGAAGACAATCTCTCTGTTGTTGACCCTATGATGCCCCAGACAAGGTCATAGTGACGCTTATAGGCAGGGCAGGTGGGCATGGGGTGGCCAGGGTGTGGGTATGGGGGTGGGGTTGTAAATATTTAACATTGGCATAAACGTGTCGCTGATGTGTTGGTTCAGTGAGAGAGAGAGAGAGAGAGAGAGAGAGAGAGAGAGAGAGAGAGAGAGAGAGAGAGAGAGAAATAAGTTTGAATGATTGAGACAGAGAGAGAGAGACAGAGAGAGAGAGAGAGGAGAGAGAGAGGAAGAGAGAGAGAGAGAGAGAGAGAGAGAGAGAGAGAGAGAGAGAGAGAGAGAGCCAAGTCTTCAAAACATTACAACGAAAGAGACTACATTATCTCTTCACCCTTAGATAAGATAAGATACTGCTTAAGGCTGTTGTCTGCTTGTGGTGGTAGCATGGCAGTAGCGTTGTGGTACTGGTGGTAGTAGTGGTACTGGTGGTAGTAGTGGACCAGACCGTGTTACTGGGTACTCCCTTCATCGTCTGGTTTATATTTAATAGGTGGAATAATATGGCGGTATGTTGTGATTTTAACCTAAACCCAACCTAATCTAACCAAACCCAACCTAATCTAACCAAACCCAACCTAATCTAACCAAACCCAACCTAATCTAACCTAATCTAACCTAACCCAACCTAACCTAACCCAACCTAACCTAACCTAACCTAACCTGACCTAACTGACCTAACCTAACCCAACCTAACCTAACCCAACCCAACCTAACCTAACCTAACCAAACCCCAACCTAATCTAACCAAACCCAACCTAATGTAACCTAACCTAACCAAACCCAACCTAACCTTTTATGGTGCCATTTGACGCAAGAAGCGGACGCAATAGTGGCGTCTTAAAGTTGCCTCAGCGCTCTAATACCTTGCCCAGGTGTTGGCGTGTGGTGATTAGCTGTTGTGGCAGGTAAGTTGATGTACACACACGGAGAGAGACAGGTATACACGGGGAGTGACAAATACATACACACACACAGGGAGTCACACACACAGGGAGTCACGCATGCACACACACACATGGATACACACACACATACACACACTACTACTACTACTACTACTACTACTACTACTACTACTTTGCTGTCACTCGTAATCAAGTATGACGATCATCCAGCTATGATACAATGATATGAGTTATTAGGATGTCACCTAGGTTGGTGAGTTCTGAGGTGACTAAAGAGGCCGATATGGGACCGGCAGCGTCGTCCACATTCGTCGCACATGTGGGGGGCTCCATCTACTGCGGAGGGGCGGCAGTATCTTTCCGACGTTGGCAGTTAGGCTAACTCGAAAGTATTGACACCTTCCTGTGATCGAATTGTACATTGCTGCCTAGATCCCAGTGCATAAACGACCTTCTTATCTGTGCTGCTCATGTACAGTGTTGTGACTGGAGACTCCCGGCTATCATCTCTGCCTGTCCCCGTCGCCACTCGTCCGTCGCCATAGGGGTTTTGATGATGATGATGATGAGAGGTATGGTGAGCTGGATGATGGCTGTGTGTGAGTTGTGTAGTGAGGCAGGAGCGCAGGTTGCAACCACACGTCTTGGCTCTCCCTTTTCCTGATCCAGTGTTGCAACGACTGGGGAGAGGTAGAGTTGAAATGGACTGCCGATAGCCCAGTTTGTTGGGTTTTGCCTTAGTAGCCTGTCCATCATGCATTGCTCTGTCCGCCGGTGTAGTCGTTGGGTTCCCATGGGAGTCACCTCTTCTGCCTACACCGCCGTGGTTTACTCCCGTAGCCTTATACCTACCAAGGTTAATCCTCAAGGCAGCGGGGCGGTGGTTGGTAGGCGCCAGGACGTGTTCACATGCCAGTGGGCCATCCCTCTGGGGCCCACTGCTACTCTGAGGTCCCCTGCTGGTCTAGCCTGGGCCCACGAGGCACCCAGTTACTGCGTGTTGCTACGAGGGGCACAGCAGGAGTCTTGATGGTGAGGAGGCTGACAGACAGACAGACAGACAGACAGACACAGACAGACAGACACAGACAGACAGACACAGACAGACAGGATGCGGGGTTTAATGACGGGGTTGAACAGGTGGTCGCTTTAATTATGTACACCTGACAGATGTTACACCTGAGTTGTGGTTGATGCTGGTGATAGTGGTGGTGGTGGTGATAGTGGTGGTGGTGGTGATAGTGGTGGTGATAGTGGTGGTGATAGTGGTGGTGGTGGTGATAGTGGTGGTGATAGTGGTGGTGGTGGTGATAGTGGTGGTGGTGGTGATAGGTGGTGGTGGTGATAGTGGTGGTGATAGTGGTGGTGGTGATAGTGGTGGTGGTGGTAGTGGTGGTGGTAGTGGTGGTAGGAGAGAGCGAGAGAGAGAGGTCGTAAACAAGACCAGATGTAAACACCCCCCAACATATACATACATACATACATACATACATACATACATACATACATACATACATCTCACTTGTATTCTTATCTCACTTTCCCTCCCCTGTCCTCCTCCTCCTCCTCCTCCTCCCTCCTCCCCCCTCTTCCTCCTCCTCCTCTCCTCCCCCCAGACCACATAATAAGCTTGGTAAAAATGTTAAGCCTGACTGACTGACTTCCGTACTGACTGAGAGAGAGAGAGAGAGAGAGAGAGAGAGAGACTTAAAAAAACGCCAAGAGTAAATGTCAACAACTCACTCATTCTCTCTCTCTCACTCTCTCTCTCTCTCTCTCTCTCTCTCTCTCTCTCATAGTCTATAGGAGATATTTCCTGAGTGTGTTACCAGCTGGTTGGGTACGCCTAGAGGAGGAGGAGGAGGAGGAGGAGGAGGAGGAGGAGGAGGAGGAGGAGGAAGAAGAAGGAGGAGGAGGAGGAGGAGGAGGGAAGGAGGAGGAGGAGGTGACATCATGTCCCTTAAGAAGAATTAATTTAAGACATTTACCTTAATTATTCTCGTAACATACATACACACTGTCGACTGTGTATGTATGTATGTATGTATGTATGTATGTATGTAAAGTGTGGTTATATGAATACAGACATGGCGAAGCATTGTATGGAGAGAGAGAGAGAGAGAGAGAGAGAGAGAGAGGGGAGAGAGAGAGAGACTTATGACACCCAGTAGGTCAAGTATATACATACATACATACATACATACATACATACATACATACACATACACACACATAATGAGATGAGAAATAGTTCACCCACAGATCAACTCAAGGTGTGTTAGGTGCCCTTTACTAGGACTTAACCCCTCCACCACCTCGAGGCAGGAGACGTGAGGTACCTGGGCCTCACGATGATTAAGGTGGTCCAGTTTCACCTCCAAGTTGAAGGTCCATCTCCAAAGTCTTCCGTGTCTACCTCCAAACACGTTCTTGAGTGTGTGTGTGTGGGGTGGGGTTGTGTGTGGGTTGTGTGTGTGGGTTGTGTGTGTGGGTTGTGTGTGTGGGGGTGGGTTGTGTGTGGGGGTGGGTTATGTGTGTGTGTGTGTGTGTGTAATAATAATAATAACAATAATAATAATAATAATAATAATAATAATAATAATAATAATAATGATAATAATAATGATGATGATGATGATGATGATGATGATGATGATGAGCATCCTTGTAACCTGAACCATTGTTAAAGAAACACTATACTACACCTTAATTATTCTTAACTAGTACTTGTGGGAACGTCTGTGTGTATGTGAATAGATGTGTGTGTGTGTGTGTGTGTTTGTTTTACTACAGTACACTACAACAATTATTAACCACAACAACAACCACAAGAACGCCCACAACCACCAACCACAACCACAATCTATAAACGCCACATCTTCTCAAAACATCAATAAACGAAGAAATATTTAAGTTACCCATTGTTGATAAATTTCCCATACTCTAGTTGTCATTAAAGAAAACGGAAATTATTGTTTATTTTTAGAGGATAACTCGTGTAAATGTTAGTGTTTTATATGAATATGGTTTAATGTTGTTTTGAGGAGGGTTTAGATACTCTGGTTTGTTTTATTATGGGGGGGAGGTTTAATACTGTTATGTTAAGTTAATCTAATGTTAGTTTAATATAAGCTAGTGGTAATCTAATCTAACAACCATTTACGACTCTCACTGTGTCACCTGTAATCATGTTATCTTACGCAACAATGATTCCAAGGCTACTAGGAGGAGGAGGAAAGGAAGGAGGAGAAGGAAGGAGGAAGGAGGGAGGAGAAATAAAGCTGTATGTATGTATTGTAGAGTATGTACGTATGTGTTTATATGTATGTATGTATATATATATGTACACCATTCTAACCATACTCTGTCTCTCATTAAGTGCGTGAGAATTACACTAAGCTGAGGAATATTGTGATGTGCTTTAAGGAATATTTGAGTAATATTAGTGTATTTTTAAGCTTAGTTGAGTAGTATTTGTTAAGCTTAATTGAGGGATATTTGTACAGCTTAATTAGGGATATTTATACAGCTTAATTGAGGAATATTCGTCAAGCTTAAAGGTGAGTTATATCCAGGTATGTGTGAAGCTTAATTGAGTAGTATTTGTAAAGCTTAATTGAGGGATATTTATGCCTTAGAGAATATTGAAAGAGGAGTATTTCAGACAGACAGACAGACAGACAGACAGACAGACAGACAGACTAATAGACAGACAGACAGACTAATAGACAGACAGACAGACAGACAGACAGACAGACTGACGAAGACTATAGACAGACAGACAGACAGACTAATAGACAGACAGACAGGCAGACAGAACTATAGACAGACTAATAGACAGACAGACAGAGCAGGAGCGCGGTTGGACGCATTGTTGTTCGTTGGAGACCTTGAGAGAGGCTCCTCTTCCTCCTCCTCCTCCTCCTCTCCTCCTCCTCCTCCTCCTCCTCCTCCTCCTCTCTTCCTCCTCTTCCTCCCTCTTCCTCCTCTTCCTCTTCCTCCTCTTCCTTTTCTTCCTCCTCTTCCTCCTCTCCTTTTCTTTCTCTCTTCCTCTCTCCTCCCCTCCTCCTCCTCTTCCTCTTCCTCCTGCTCCTCTTCCTCCCTCCTCTTCCTCCTCCTCCTCTTCTTTTCTCTTCCTCCTCCCTCTCCTCCTCTGCTCCTCTTCCTCCTCCTCCTCCTCTTCTTCCTCTTCCTCCCTCCCCCTCCTCTTCCTCTTCCTCCTCCTCTTTCTTTCTCTTCTTCCTCCTCCTCCTCTCCTCTTCCTCCTCCTCCTCCTCCTTCTTCCTCTTCCTCTCCTCCTCCTCTTTCTCTCCCTCTTCCCCTCCTCCTCTCTTCCTCCTCCTCTTCCTCCCTCCTCTTTCTCCCTCTTCCTCCTCCTCCTCTTCCTCTCCTCCTCTTCCTCCTCCTCTTCCTCCTCCTCCTCTTCCTCTCCTCCTCGCTTATATGTATGTATGTATGTATTATGTATGTATGTATGTATATGTATGTATGTATTTCAGTATGGGCAAATCCGACATAAAGCCAGCCTGAGCAGGAGGCCAACTGTATGAGCTCAGCCGAGGGGTGAGAGGGAGGGAGGGGGAGCAGGAAGGGGGAGCAGGAAGGAGCAGGAGTGCAGGAATGGGGAAGTGGGGTCCCAAAAGCATCAAAAGAGTCTCGGACTACTGAGAGTTCACCCAGAGTCTCGGACCAATCCAGCACCCCCCTTCCCTACCTCCACCCATAGGGAGTCAGTGTTGCTCCAGGTGTCGTGAAGGGTGGACGTGTTGGCCATGTGCTCTCTCTGGTTTGTTGACATTGAAACGTCTTCTCATTGGACACTAAACCCTGGATAATGATTGGCTCGTTTAAACGTGTGTGGTGTATAATTTCGTGTATTGACCTCGAGTTATCTATGTATGGTGTATATTTTGATGTATACTATATTTAAATCGATTTGACCTGTGGAAATAAGGTTATGTATACCTGTGTTATATGTAGACATTTCTCTTAACTGAGCTGTATGGACGTATTAACCTGTGGCTATGTGATTTACCTGTAATTAACGAAGGGAATTTTTGTGTCGTATAGTGAAATATTCCCTTCAGAGATTTTCCTCGAGATTAAATTCCCGTAAAATATTTCCCTGACAGACATTATTTCCTGGAATTTTTTTCCCAAGTTAAATTCCTGACATATTTCCCAGCCAGAGATTAAATTCCCGTAAAATATTTCCCTGACAGACATTATTTCCTTGAGATTTTTTTCCCCCAGAGATTAAATTCCCCTGACATATTTCCCAGCCAGAGATTAAATTTCCAGGACACATATTTCCCCCAGACAAGACTTTTATTTCCATCAGAGTTTATTTCCCAAGTTGGTTCTTTTCCCCACGACTTTATTTCCCTGCCAGAGATTATTTCCCCACGGGAGATTTTTACCGTGAGGCGAGAGAGAGAGAGAGACGACAGTACCTGGGAAGTGTCATCTTAAACCTTTCCCTTGATTACATTTCTACCTGAGGAGGGGGGTGTTGTAGATGGTGGTAATGGTTGTAGATAGTGGTAGGGATGTTGGTTGCTTGTAGGAGAAAGTGTTTTAAAAGTGTGTGTGTGTGTGTGTGTGTGTGCTGGTTCAGACATGCCAGATGGTTGTCTGTCTGTCTGTCTGTCTGTCTGTCTGTGGGGTGGAATGTTGTCTTATCCACCCACCACTATCTCTCTCTCTCTCTCTCTCTCTCTCTCTCTTCTCTCTCTCTCTCTCTCTCTCTCACTCACACACACACACACACCACACACACACACACACCTGGACACCTAAGCTTCAAATATACCTGTATTGATTAGGCATTATGGGGGGAGGGAGGTGGGGTGATTAGGAGGGAGAGGTGGGGTGATTAGGGAGAGACAGGTGGGGTGATTAGGAGGGGGTGTGGGGTGGTGATTGGAGGAGAAGAGGTGGGGTGATTAGGAGGGAGAGGTGGGGTGATTAGGAGGGAGAGGAGACAGGTGGGGTGATTAGGAGAGGGTGGGTGGGGTGATTAGGAGAGGAGGGAGGTGGGGTGAGGAGGAGAGGAGGGAGGTGGGGTGATTAGGAGGGAAGGAGGGAGGTGGGGTGATTAGGAGGAGGGTGATTAGGAGGAGGGTGGGGTGATTAGGAGGAGGAGAATGGGAGGTGGAGGGTGTGGGGTGATTAGGGAGGGAGGTGGGGTGATTAGGAGGAGGAGAGGAGGAGGTGGGTGATTAGGAGGGGAGAGGGGGTGGGGTGATTAGGATGGGAGGAGGTGGGGTAGGAGGAGGAGGAAGGAAGTGGGGTGATTAGGAGAGGTGGGGTGATTAGGAGGTGTGAGACAGACATACACACTATTGATTGGTCCTTACCCAAACATTGATTTAAAGTCGAGAGAGAGAGAGAGGCGTGCGGGCGTGGGTGTGAGAGACGGAGATGTTCAAATTGGTCATCCGTTCAACCGTCTGTTGATCGAGTCTCTCTCTCTCTCTCTCTCTCTCTCTCTCTCTCTCTCTCTCTCTCTCTCTCTCAGGTATCGTACTGACACACTCTATATAAGGCAGATGTCTCCAAGGTTAAACTCCCGCATGCGGTAAGTGCGTTATGAAGCCGCATGCGGGGGTCAGACTGTGCGTTGATTTACAGAGAACAAAAGGAAGTAGCATTGGCAATCTCCCCCTCGCCCACGCGTTCATGCGTAGAGAGAAATTATGACAAACACAGACTACTCTCCCCCTCCTCCCTCCTCTACCCTCCCTCCCCTCCTCCCTCCCCACCCTCCCCTCCCCTCCCCTCCCTCCCCTCTCCTTGTCTCCCCAGGACCACGTGGCAGATAGAACGCCCCCGTGCTGCTGCCTCCCTAATGCTATCCAGTGTCTGAGTATTGTAGAGCTAACTCTCTCTCTCTCTCTCTCTCTCTCTCTCTCGTTGTGGTTTAAGAGAGTGTTGAAAAGAGAGAGAGAGAGAGAAGAAGAAATTCGTGCAAAAATCATCTTACACACACACACACACACACACATACACACACTATCTCAGGTGACATCTAGCGGTCATAAGCGGCACTAGGGAGTAAATACGGTATATGAGGCGACATCTGTAGGCTAGTGGTGGAACTGTCAGTGTAAACAAACCTGAGACTATGCCATCTAGCGGTCGAAATTGGTATTATAGATGTCAACAAAGCCATCAAGCGGTCGAAATTGGTATTATAGATGTCATCAAAGCCATCAAGCGGTCGAAATTGGTATTATAGATGTCATCAAAGCCATTTAGCGGTCGAAATTGTTATAGATGTCATCAAAGCCATCTGCGGTCGAAATTGGTATTATAGATGTCAACAAAGCCATCAAGCGGTCGAAATTGGTATTATAGATGTCATCAAAGCCATCAAGCGGTCGAAATTGGTATTATAGATGTCATCAAAGCCATTTAGCGGTCGAAATTGGTATTATAGATGTCATCAAAGCCATCAAGCGGTCGAAATTGGTATTATAGATGTCATCAAAGCCATTTGGTCGAAATTGGTATTATAGATGTCATCAAAGCCATCAAGCGGTCGAAATTGGTATTATAGATGTCAACAAAGCCATCTAGCGGTCGAAATTGGTATTATAGATGTCATCAAAGCCATCAAGCGGTCGAATGGTATTATGATTCATCAAAGCCATCAAGCGGTCGAATTATTATAGATGTCATCAAAGCCATCTAGCGGTCGTTATTAGATGTCATCAAGCCATCTGCGGTCGAAATTGGTATTATAGATGTCATCAAGCCATCAAGCGGTCGAAATTGGTATTATAGATGTCATCAAAGCCATCAAGCGGTCGAAATTGGTATTATAGATGTCATCAAAGCCATCTAGCGGTCGAAATTGGTATTATAGATGTCATCAAAACCATCTAGCGGTCGAAATTGGTATTATAGATGTCATCAAAGCCATTTAGCGGTCGAAATTGGTATTATAGATGTCATCAAGCCATCTAGCGGTCGAAATTGGTATTATAGATGTCAACAAAGCCATCTAGCGGTCGAAATTGGTATTATAGATGTCATCAAAGCCATCTAGCGGTCGAAATTGGTATTATAGATGTCAACAAAGCCATCTAGCGGTCAATTGGTATTATAGATGTCAACAAAGCCATCTAGCGGTCGAAATTGGTATTATAGATGTCAACAAAGCCATCTAGCGGTCGAAATTGGTATTATAGATGTCATCAAAGCCATCTAGCGGCTATAGGCGTTATTAATGTGTATTCAGATGCCCTCTAGCGGCGAGATAGGATATTATTTATGTAAACATTCACATTCTCTCAGCCGTATGTAAACAAACGCCATCTAGCGGCCAGACAAGGTTAACAATAGTCCAAGAGGTATTTCACAGGTACACACACACACATACACACACACACACACACATACACACACAAAATTACGCCACATGACAAAAGCACACATATGTACACAAAGAACCACGTCACCTCACACACACACACACACACATACATACATACATAATAACTCCTTGTCTCCCTTCTGCTCTTTGTGTGTGTGTGTACCGTGTGTGTGTTACCATGTGTGTGTGTGTGTGTGTGTGTACCGTGTGTGTGTGTGTGTACCGTCTGTATCTTATCCTACGTACCAAGAAATAGGGTACAAACTCTTCTTGCGTCATACAAGGTCAGGACACCAGATTTCAGATTTGTCAACACTGATTTTAGGTTCAGATTTGACAACACTGATTTTAGGTTCAGATTTCAGATTTATAGGGGAGATGTTGGGGGGGGGGTGGTGATGGAAGAGGGTAGGGTAGTGGGGTGTGTGTGTGTGTGGGGTGATTTTGGGGGAGGATAGTGGGGTGAGGGGTGGTGGGGAGGGTATTGGCGCCAGTGTGTACAAACAGACTCTCTTCTGGAGCTTCCTGTAGCTATGGTCTTAACTAGCTCCCTGAGGCCTCTCTCTCTCTCTCTCTCTCTCTCTGTTCTACCCTTCTGCCTCTGTCTCTTAAAGCAAGCATTCTTTCTGTATACGTACGTGCGTGTGTGTGTGTGTGTGTGTGTGTAGTAAATAATATTAATGCTTGTAAAGATGGCGTCACACAACCCACGATGACGTCACAACATCTAATATGACGTCACGATCTTCATTATGACGTCACGGACTCCATACTTCGACGTCAGCTAACTCTGGGCGAATGACGTCAGAACCCCCATTATGACGTCAGAACTCCCTACTAGAGGACGTCAGAACCCCTTACTATGACGTCATCAGAACCCTACTATGACGCGTCAAGTAACCCCTACTATGACGTCACAACCCCTACTATGACGTCACAACCCCTACTATGACGTCACAACCCCTACTATGACGTAAACAGGACAGGGGGCGTGTGTGTTGTGGTTGGTAGGAGGCGTGTGGGCGTGTGTGGCATGTGTGTAAAGATGATGGGCGTGTTTGGTGGGGGGCGTGTATGTGTGTGTGTGTAGGCGTGTGTGTATGTGGGCGTGTGTGTGTGTGTATGGGGCATCATTGTGGGCATTTTTAATGGGGGCATACAAAAGACTACTAACCCTCTACATCATGTTATGTGGGCGTAGTGTGGGCGTACTGTGGGCGTAGTGGTGCGTTAGTGAGAGGGCAGGTGGCGTTGAGGGGAGGGGGGGAGCGTTGACGGTTAGAGACGTTGAGGGGAGGGGTGGGGAGGGGCGGGGTGAGGTATGTTGAGTCACTTAGCTGTTAACTTCTTCTTCTTACTTAACGTATAAGTGGATATGTGGATATATTTAACACATGTGGATCGTATCTCTTAACAAAACTATATCTATAACAGCATGTGGATAAAGCCCCCCTCTATACCATGTGGATGCTCTGTGTGGATTAACTAAGCAATGGATACTATGTGGATATCCTTAACATTGTGTGGAATGGATCTTATGTGGATAACTGTGGATAATCTTGAAGACAATATGTGGATAGAACATTAAGTGGATTAGACACAGTGTGGATTGGTTTAGACCATGGTGTGGAATAAACCCTAAGTGGATTAATGTGGATGGGTATGTGGATTTGTATAGAACAGTAGGATTAATAAACACTTAAGTGGATAAATCGATAAATGGATCAGTTCTGTGAAGTGGATGACCCCTGGGTGGATAATCACACCTAGAAGTGGGTACCTGGATACTCAAGTGGATAAACCATTGGATTACCAGGTGGATTATGAACCAGTAGTGGATAGCCAGGTGGATGTGAAGCTGGACAGTTGGATTGGACAAATGGATAAACGTTTGGACAATTGCTGTTGATTCCAGATGGTTTTGTCCAGTTGATTTGTCAGTCTAAGAGACATTTCCAGCTGAACCTAACCTGACCTGACCCCACCTAACCTGACCTCACCTATCCTCTATTGGTGCCTGGAAACTCCCTTGGGGCTTTATCGTTCCTGGAAACCTCACCTTAAGTGTTTCAACCTACTGGAACCCTTCCTTTAGGGCTCCATCACCCCTGGAAACCACCCTTTAGGGCTTCAACCCACTGGAACCCTCCCTTTAGGGCTCCATCACCCCTGGAAACCACCCTTTAGGGCTTCATCACCCTGGAAACCCTCCGGAAACTCAAGTGGAAACTGAAAAAGACCCCTCGGAAGCCTTCAACGATGTCTCCCCACACACACACAGGAGGAAGAGAAACTACCACAGGAGGCGCTGGAGGGGCGGTAGTCAAGTATAAACTGACGGAGGTGATGAGGCGGTACTCCCAGCTCCTGCAGGTAGCTACGATCTTCCGCCAGGTGGTCCACAAGGCGTCTAGGAGGCAGAGTGGCGCTACTTGTCTTGAGTCTAATGTTGAAGAAGGGGCATCTACTTCATGGCTCCTTGTTCTATATAGTCCAAAGTTGGCTCCCAAATCGCCCAGAAATCCAAGGCAGTGGGGGGTGAGGTAGGAGGTGAGATAGTGAGAAGAGAGGGGGGGAAGGAGGCGTCACGGCCACCAATCACTCATCACATGTTATAACAGCCAGACACAGGTAGTTAGCCTGCCACCGCTAATAACACTTCATTATCTTTACAGGTATGTGTGTCTGGATGTTCGTCTGTCGTGTAAACCAG